GGAACAAAGATTCAAGCTCGGTTCTGTCTGACACACACCTTTTTAAAAAAGAGTTATTTATTTAATTTTATTTATTCATTTATTTTAACTTGACCAGAGAGCGAGACACACACAGAGAGAGGGAAAATGAGAAAGCAAGCCACCAGGACCAGGACTCAAACCGCGGTGGGCCATGTGGGAGTGTCCGGCCACCATCTGCTGGCCCCCACACAGCCGTTCTCCTGCACTTTGACAAAGTGCCCACACTGTGTACTTTTACATGCCTTGTTTCTCCCTGCCTCCAGTCTCTTCTTTCCTGTCAGGGACGTGGCTATTCCTTTGGCATCTCAGGCTAGACCTTCAGAATTTTCTTTGCTTCTCTGACATCTTATCTTCCCTCTGCACTTAATTCTCTCTCTCACTTATGCTAAACCAATATATATATATTTTTTGAGAGGTTTTTGCTATAGGGCGTGTGCACTCACCAGAAAGACAGCAAGAGGCAGGGAGACAGAAAGGGAGAAATCACCCCCCAGGGCAGATGACCACATCGCAATCCCTTCTCCTCCATTCTCTCAAAATCTTGGGCACACACGCACACACGCCTAGAGTGATTTTAAGCCACCGGGTAGGGACTCAAAACACAGTCAACTATATGGGAGGTCCAGCGACATAGCCATTATGCCAACTGCTGGTCCCCCAATTCGTATTTTTTAAAATTTATTTATTTCATTTCATTTATTATTATTATTATTATTCTAAATTTGACAAGAGAGAAACACACAAAGCGAGAAAGGGAAAGTATGAAAGCAAGCTATCAGGTCCGAGACTTAAACTGTGGTCGGCTATGTGGGAGTCCAGCCCTTTAACCACCGCGCCACCTGCCGGCGCGGTGTTATTAATAACCACTGTGTCAAGGTCACCTTGGAAGAAGTAAAAAGCCCAAGTTTGAGAATGACTGACCTTTCCTATAAATAAGAGTGTATGATTCATGGCTATCTATAATAGTGTCACCTATTCACTTGAATTCAAACATAGTTTTCTGGAAAGAAAGGGGTGGGTCTGAACTAGTGATGTGAGAGCTATGCCCTGACCAGAGCCTGCCCAAGGTTGTAAATGAGAACTTTTAGAGCCAAGTCTTTTTTCCACCCTTGACGAAGCATAGGGCTAGGCAGACACAAGGCACCCAAACATGTGTGAGAGATGAATGAACATGTAAAACTGAAAAGTTGGCTGTCAGATGGCCCTGATCTTTGGAATAACTCTGCCTTCCTGGTTCATGGAAAAGGCATTGGCTAGGTAGGTCAAATATCACTGTGTAATTTATTTTTTTTTTTTGGAGAGGTTTTTCGCTACAGGGCGTGTGCGCTCACCAGACAGACAGAAAGAGACAAAGAGATAGAAAGCGAGAAATCACCCCCCAGGGGGGATGGCCACGCCGCAATCCCTTCTCCTCCATTCTCCTCTTGGGATCTTGGGCACACACGCGCACGCGCCTGGCGTGAGTTTAAGCCACCGGGTCCCGGACTCGAACTGCGGTCGACTACGTGGGAGTCCAGTGACATAGCCATTAGGCTAACTGCTGGTCCCTCACTTTGTAATTTTTAAAAAGTCTCGGGACCAGCAGATGGCATAATGGTTATGTCACTGGACCCCCATGTAGTCTACTGTGGTTTGAGTCTTGGACCCTGCAACTTAAAACTCACGCTGGGTACATGTGCATGTATGCCCAAAATCCTGAGAGGAGAATGGAGGAGAAGGGATTGCAGCATGGCTATCCCCCGGAAGGGTGATTTCCCACATTTTGCCTCTGTCTCTGTCTTCTCAGTGAGCGCACGTGCTCTTTAGCAAAAACTTCTCTACAAACAAAACAAAAAAACCAAGCTGGTTCATAGTATCTTGCAGGCTGTAAAATGCAGTTTAATCAGAGTGCTATATTTTTGTTCAAATAATTTTAATTATTGAGATGCAGAAATTTTAAAATATTCAAATAAAAAGTTTTAAAACCTAAAAAAAAAAGTTAAATAAAATAATTCTCAATAAAAAAAAACCCATAATGCTGGGGAAGCAGGAGAGCTGTTGGGAAAAAAATGAAACCATACTTTCACATCTGATACCAGGATGAATTTCAAATTGAGCAAAAAATCAAAGTAAAACATTAAATGTAAAGAGATTGAGATAAACCATGGGGAAAATATTATAATTAGAGTGGGAAAGACTTTTTTTTTTTGGAGAGAGTTTTGCTATAGGGCATGTGCGCTTGCCAGAAAGACAGAGAGAGACAGAGAGACAGAAAGCGAGAAATCATCCCCCAGGGGCATGGCCATGCCACAATCCCTTATCCTCCATTCTCCTCTTGGGATCTTGAGCATGCCCGCACACACATCTGGCGTGAGTTTAAGCCACCAGGACCAGGCCTCAAATGCCAGTCAACTACATGGGAGTCCAGCGACATAGCCATTACGCTAACTGCTGGTCCCAGGAAAGACTTTTTAAACTATGACACAAAAATTTAGAGGTTATTGAGGATCAGCAGGTGGTTAGGCACTGGACATTACCACTGGGACTACAGTTGGAGACCCAGAGCTGGTGGCTTGCTTTCTCACTTTCCTCTCTCTCTCTGTGTCTCTCTCTGGTCAGATTAAAATAAACAAATCAATAAAGAAAATTAAATAAACAATTCTTTTAAAATTTAGATGCCATAAAACAAAGATTGACAAATTCAACTACATAAAAAAAACTTCCATATGAGAAGACATAAAAACAAGAGGAGGGAATATCTAGACCTTTATCATAGATAGGTAATTAATAACCCTAATGAATAAAGAGCCTCTAAAATCAATGAGAAAAAGATCAACCATCAAATGGAAAACAGGTGAAGAACAGGAAATTCACAAGAAAGAATGACATACATGTATATGTGCAGATATTCAATTCTGTTTTTTTTAAAACAGGTGCAAATTAAAACTTCACTCAGGAAAATTTGTCACTTACCTTCTGAACCAGGAATTCAGCCCTCTAGCTATTGATCCCACACATCTACTCCATGTAGTGGGATGAGTAGTGGTTCCCCGAAAGATATGTCCACCCAGAACAGGTGAAAGAGAACTTATTTGAAAAAAGGATCTTTATAGATGTGAAGTTAAAGACCTCCAGCTGAGATCAGTCTGGAGTAACCAGGTGAGCCCTAAATCCAATGACAGGTGTCCTTTTTTCCTATTTTGCCAGGGAGCACATGCACCTGCCGTAGAGAGACAGAGAAAGGGGGAAAGCATGCCCCGTGGGGAATGGTCACACCACAATCTCTTCTCCATGTCGCCCTCCTTTCACGATTTTGGCCATGCATACGTGCCCAGTGTCTTTCTTCAAGTTGCCAGGTCTGGGACTCAAACTGCACAGTTGACCATGTGGGATCCCACCACTGCCTGGCCTGGTAGGTGTCCCTATGCGAGAATCGGAGGAGGCAGAAAGACACACAGAGCAGGAGGTGATGTGAAGATGGAGGCAGAGAGTGGAGTGATGCATCTGCAAGCCAAGAACACCCAGGATGGCGGGCAGCCAGCAGGAACTAGGAGAGGTATGGGGCAGAGTCTCTCTCAGAGTCTCAGTGAGGAACTAGCCCAGCCAACCCCTTGAGTTGGGGCTTCCAGCTTATTTACAAGACGCAAATCATAAAGATGTGGGCAGGCATAGAGGAACCTATAGGGCAGATGAATTTCCGTTGTTTCAAGCCACCCAGTTTGCGGTGATTGGTCACAGCAGCCACAGCACACATACACTCCGCCAAGTAAGACAAGGTACAGCGTGTAACCCACTCATCACACCACTGTTTGTAGGACAAGACCAGTAACTCGTCCTTACGGTGGGACTCTTGGAAAAAGTTGGAAAGAGAAAAGTGTTATTTATAGTCAGATGTGGAATGCTCTCTGTAAGAGATCCAACGGGAAACCAATGTCACTCCAAGTGGGAGGGTTTATTTACAAGGGAAAGGTCATAGGGTACAGGCAGGCATCTAGGAACCTGTGGGGAGACTGCTGCAGCCTGGGGCTAGAAGCACCTGGGCAGTCACCCACCCTGTACGTACCTGTATGTACCCAAAGGACAACCTGGAAGGAGAGGGACTGCGGGAAGGGAGTAGAGCCCCGTGAAGGGACACTGCAGGTCTCATAGAGAGAGAGCCAGAGAACCATCCCTCTTCGTGAGCCACCCTTGAGGTGGTTCATGTTCTCAGCCCCCCAGGGGCAGAGGGCAGCAAGGAGCATGGTGGCATGCACTTTCAGAAGGGCACGGCAGCTGTCCATCTTACTATTCAAGATAAAGTTGCTTTCTTTTAAGGCCAAAAACAGAAAAGTGTACACAGTGGGTGACCGTTTCAGTAAGAGAGAAAAGGGTTATATCGCATGTGTAGATTACACATGCACAGCAGATCTGGATTCTGGATGGACTCCCTAAGAAAATGATGCTGTTGAATGCTCTGGAGAGTAGACGTGGGCACCTGGGGAACGGCAGTGGGTGGAGCCTTTTCACTGGATACAGATGATAGCTCTTGAATTTTGAACACATGAAAGGTTCAAAATACAAAATTTTATTTCTATTAAGAAATGCAAAAAAATGGGAACCAGCAGTTAGCGTAATGGCTATGTCGCTGGACTCCCACGTAGTCGACTGCGGTTCGCGTCTCGGACCCGGTGGCTTAAATCTCACGCCGGGCGCGTGTGCGTGCGTGCCCAAGATCCCGAGAGGAGAATGGAGGAGAAGGGATTGCGGCGTGACCATCCCCCCTGGGGGGTGATTTCTTGCTTTCTGTCTCTATGTCTCTCTCTCTGTCTGTCTGGCGAGCGCACGCGCCCTATGGCAAAAACCTCTCCAAAAAAAAAAAAAAAAAAAAAAGATGCAAAAAAAGAAAAAAAAGAGATGCAATATTGTTACGATAGTTGTTAAAGGGTTCTAACCAAGGAAAGAGACGCGGGAGCAATCGGGGCCAAGGCCTACCCCGAGGGAGGTGAGAACAGCATGCCCACCTGTCAGGTAGTGCCTGCAGCACGGTGGGCATCAGCACCCCGGAGATGGCTTTGTAGAGGATGGAGTCGCACACGCCGACGATGTTCACCACCGTGGAGGAGCCCAGCACGGGCAGCATGTGGGGCGGCATGCCTTGCCAAAAGTGCAGAAGAAAGCTTTGAACCTGTATCAACCCACAGAGAGAAGAATCAATCAGGAGGTTACACGGGGTCCTCCCCACAGAAGTTTGGAGCCCCACTGAGGTCAGCCCCGTCTGCAGGGCTGTCATCTACTTCCCATTCAGCACAGCAGCTGTCCCCAGCCTGGCATGGTGCAGGGGTATGCCCCAGTCCCGCCGCCCATGGGTGTGGCATGCCCACCGCAGGAGAATCTCCTGACCCGGCAGCCTAGGGTCTCCTCTGCCCAGGACAGGAGGAATAACACATTACCCCTTCAGCTCCTTCAACGCTTACTGTGGACTGGGAAGCGTTTCAGCGTGGGAGGTGGGGGGTTGTTTTTGAAAAGGCCAGAGCACAGGTACTCAGCATTCTGTAAGCCTGCTGGTGCCTCAGGGGCAATGTTTTCAATTAAGACTAATGAGGGATGGAGGTGCATTTCATTTTTTGAGTCCTGGACCTGGTGGCTTGCTCTCTCACTTTCCCTCTCTTTCTCTCTCTGCCTCTCTCTAGTGAGCACATGTGCCCTACAGCAACATTAAAAAAAATAATAAATAAATAAAGATTTAAAAAATGTTTTAAAAAATTTACCAGAGGAGGGCTGACAGGTGTTATGACGGTTAAGGTGCTGAACTCCCACATGGCTGGCCACAGTTGAGTCCCAGACCTGAGAACTTGTTTTCTCACTCTCCCTCTCTCTCTCTCTGGTCAAATTGAATAATAAAAATAAATGAATAAAATTAAATAAATAATTCTTAAAAAATTTTACCAGAGGGCATGTGGCTCACCAGAGAATGAGAGATACACCACAATTTCTTCTCTTCCGTCTCTTCCTCCTTTTGGGACTTTGGGCATGTACACACACACATGGCCGGTATGTTTTTCAATCTGCCAAGTCCAGGATTCAAACCACACAGTCAGCCATGTGGGCTCTAGCAACCCTAAACACCAGGCCATGGGGCTGGTCCAAACTTTCTATGTTCAAACCACTAGTATAGAACAGGAAACTAGCGGGCTCTTGAAATGCAGCTGTCATTACTAACACGATGATGCTGAGCACCCGGGCCTGTTGTTGGTTAATGAACGGCGGCGTGAATGGCCAAAGCAGGGAGCCTCTCAAAGGTCCCCGACTCCATGCCTTTCAGTGAGTGAGTTATAGGTTGGACAGAGAACAGGATCGGGGGCGGAGGGACAGGGCAAAATAAGTAAGGGGAGGGGAACTCTTGTATATATTATAATAACATTCAGAAATATCTTGATGTCAGCTCGCATCGAAGAGCAGCCCATCTTGGACCTAGAAAACACACCATTCCAAAGTTTTAAAATTAGAATAGGCCTGACTTGTGCGTAGCCTTCTTTCCCCTGCAGATGGGTACCCTTGAGTCCTACATGTAGCATGGCCCACATCCCTGGTTCCTCAAATCAATCCCGATCCAAAGTGGGTGATAATTTAGTCTCTCTAATTTTGGAGCTGGTATGACTGCTGCCACTGGCCTTCCTTATCGAGGGCCTGTTACATGCCAGGCACTTCTCATGGGTTCTCTCATTTAATACTCATAAAAATACTACAGGATCACTATTCTCACTTATAGAGATAGTAAGCTGATTGTCCAAAGCCAGACAGCAAGGGAATGGGTGGGATACTCTGCCCACCTGAGCCCTACCCAGCGGCCTTGCAGCGCGTTTGTTCTTTATGTGGCAGCTGAGCTTCTGCCTCGTTTCTAAAGCCCGAGCCTCTCCCTGGGCTTCTGCCCTTTGCCCAGCTTCTTTCCCTGCAGCGTTTTTTCAGGCCCCTCCCAGGAGCAGAGTTTCATTTTCAGGAGAGGAGGAGGAGCTTTGCTTTGACTCTAGCCTGGTGCCAGAGCGCAGCCTCCCATGGACAGACCTCCCTAATACTCATAACCTGTCTGAGCCTCCCAGTGTAAGCACTGAATGGGAGTCTGAGGGGACAGGAAATGGGGAGAAAGGGATTGCCCTCTGACTTTCTAGGGGAGAAATGGTAATTGCCGAAAACATGATCAAAGCGGTGAACGAAGTCAGGTCTGTAAATTGGTAGACTTAAGTTACAGTCCTGTTTTATTCCTTGACAAGGAAAATACTGCAGAGTTTTCATCCAGATCAAAAATTAAAGCAAAGAAAATCTTGATGAGTAAAGACTGAATTCCAGGTTTCCCATTCTTCATTCTATTACCAACTGGGATATATCTCTAAGCTCAGTTTACTAATCTGTGGAATGGAGATAAAAGTAGTACTTACTGGGACCAGCAGTTAGCATAACGGCTATGTCGCTGGACTCCCATGTAGTCGACTGTGGTTCAAGTCTCAGACCCAATGGCTTAAACTCATGCCAGGCGCGTGTGCGTGCATGCCCAAGATCCAGAGAGAATGGAGGAGAAGGGATTGCGGCATGACCATCCCCCCTGGGGGGTGATTTCTCGCTTTCTGTCTCTATGTCTCTCTTTGTCTTTCTGGTGAGTGCATGCACCCTATAGCAAAAGCCTCTCAAAAAACAAAACAAAACAAAAGTAGTACTTACTGGGACCAGCAGTTAGCATACCGGCTATGTCGCTGGACTCCCATGTAGTCGACTGTGGTTCAAGTCTCAGACCCAATGGCTTAAACTCATGCCAGGCGCGTGTGCGTGCATGCCCAAGATCCAGAGAGAATGGAGGAGAAGGGATTGCGGCATGACCATCCCCCCTGGGGGGTGATTTCTCGCTTTCTGTCTCTATGTCTCTCTTTGTCTTTCTGGTGAGTGCATGCACCCTATAGCAAAAGCCTCTCAAAAAACAAAACAAAACAAAAGTAGTACTTACTGGGACCAGCAGTTAGCATACCGGCTATGTCGCTGGACTCCCATGTAGTCGACTGTGGTTCAAGTCTCAGACCCAATGGCTTAAACTCATGCCAGGCGCGTGTGCGTGCATGCCCAAGATCCAGAGAGAATGGAGGAGAAGGGATTGCGGCATGACCATCCCCCCTGGGGGGTGATTTCTCGCTTTCTGTCTCTATGTCTCTCTTTGTCTTTCTGGTGAGTGCATGCACCCTATAGCAAAAGCCTCTCAAAAAACAAAACAAAACAAAAGTAGTACTTACTGGGACCAGCAGTTAGCATACCGGCTATGTCGCTGGACTCCCATGTAGTCGACTGTGGTTCAAGTCTCAGACCCAATGGCTTAAACTCATGCCAGGCGCGTGTGCGTGCATGCCCAAGATCCAGAGAGAATGGAGGAGAAGGGATTGCGGCATGACCATCCCCCCTGGGGGGTGATTTCTCGCTTTCTGTCTCTATGTCTCTCTTTGTCTTTCTGGTGAGTGCATGCACCCTATAGCAAAAGCCTCTCAAAAAACAAAACAAAACAAAAGTAGTACTTACTGGGACCAGCAGTTAGCATACCGGCTATGTCGCTGGACTCCCATGTAGTCGACTGTGGTTCAAGTCTCAGACCCAATGGCTTAAACTCATGCCAGGCGCGTGTGCGTGCATGCCCAAGATCCAGAGAGAATGGAGGAGAAGGGATTGCGGCATGACCATCCCCCCTGGGGGGTGATTTCTCGCTTTCTGTCTCTATGTCTCTCTTTGTCTTTCTGGTGAGTGCATGCACCCTATAGCAAAAGCCTCTCAAAAAACAAAACAAAACAAAACAAAAGTAGTACTTACTATATATGTTCTAGTAAAGATTCCTAAAAAGTATTTTTAGTGCCTGGCGCATAATAGATGCTTGTCAATGTTTAGTTATTATTGGGCCAGCAGGTGGTGTGGTGGTTAAGGGCGCTGGACTCCCACATGGCTGACCATGGTTTGAGCCTGGACCTGGTGGCTTGCTTTCTCACTTTTCCTCTCTCACTCACTCAGTCCCTTTCTGGTCAAATTAAAATAAATAAATACAGTTAAAATAAAACGATTCTTAAAAAGTTTAGCTATTATTATATCATGAAGGCACTCTCTGCACTAGGCCCAGGAAGGCAACATACTGCCCTGAGTGTTTGAGGTACTCCTGTGGAAGCTGCTAAGTGTCACTCAGCCAGGATCCCCACTGTAGCTCTGCTCACCTGCCAAAGCTTCTTGTTCTGTTGTTGAGACAGCTGGTGGCTGACTACTGACCTGGCCTGGACAAGGTGCTTGCCCTACAGAGGGCCCTCTGTTGTCCCCTGATCTCATCTCATCCTCGGGCATTGACCCTAGGCCAGGTCCTGGAACACCCTACCTGCTCTTCCAACTCTTAGTAAGAACCTCTGTCCAGTTGATCCCTATGAGTTAGTAAATTCTTAATTAACTTGCCTTGGGGTTTTCTGCATGCAGCCCTACCCCTTTTTAAAGTGAGCAGTCAGTTTCCCGCAGAAAGTGTGGAAAAGATCAGCTGCTGTGTAGGTTAAAACAAATCTGTGGAAAATCAGTGTCTTTAGCAAGCATCTGTGTTTTGAGCCTATTCAAGCTGCACAGGGAGTACTGATCAGCCCTCATTTCCTGAGTAGTTTTTGTAGAAGCGGTATTAAACAGTTCTAGCCTTCCTTTCTATTCTTTGTATTTTAGGTCATTTAATGTCCAATGATACCAGTTCCTTTGCATGAGAAGGAAGGGAATGAAAAAGAATAGCATAAATATCAAGAGCTGTGCTATGGGTTAGATAATGGCTTGTCCCCCAAAGGTTCATGTTGTGGAATTTGGTCCCCCGTGCAATGGTGTTGGGAAGTGGTGAGACCCAGCGGGCAGTGACTGGAACATGAGACTGAGAGTCTCATGAATGAATTAATGATGTCTCACCAGACCCAGAGAAGGGTTGTAATCAAGACAGCAGGTTTTTATAAAAGAAGCTGGCTGCCCCCAGGTCTCTCTCTGCATTGCCCACCATTCTCTCTGTGTCTGTTGGCCATGCTGTGACAATAGCCAGCCTGTTGTTAGCTGCATGACTTTGGACTTTACAGCCACCAGAATCATGAGTCAAAGAAATTTCCATGCTATACAACAACCAGTCTTGGGTATTTCTGTAAGTGACACAATAGCAGATAAAGACAGGCTGAGATTTGGAAGTTAGATGTGAAACAGACAGACATGGAAGATAGAGCTGACAGTACCTCCCGATGGACTGGACAGGAAGGTTGAGGGAAAGGGAAGAATTAAGATTTGTGTCTTCAGCAATTGGGTGAAAAGCAGAAGCCATCTAAGACTTGGGCAAAACAGATTTGGGGCAGAAAATTAAGAGCTCTGATTTGGCTGTATTAAGCTAGATGTTAAGTCAACTGAATCTGGAGTTGAGGGTTAAATGTATAAATGTGAGAGTTACCTGCTTTTGTAGGATGGAGATAATGATGCCTACCTGTTAGTAGGGTGAAATGCCAGCGTGTAGGCATTTAACAAATGAAAGCTTATTATTAGACAGAGGGAGAACGCTTATAAATTCTCCTTAATCCTTGCAAGCATAAATAGTGAAAGAATCAGAGGCAAATGATTGAAAGTGATTATCTACAGCAGGTTTTCTGGGTTATCTATTTTAATCTCCTGCATGCTCAGTCCTTTTCTCTTGGCTCAGTGAAGAACCAAGAGATAATTTCTTTAAGAATAAGTAAAATTTCCATTTCTTTTCCATGTCCATTTTTATTTCATAATATATTGGTACTTGTGAAAAAACATCTGATGACATGCAGTCAGAGGTACTTAATTGTTATGATATTGGGAAGAGCTAAATAATATAACTATCAAAATATTTATTCTGTTCTATTACAGACTCAGACACTTCACGTGCACGATTCCATGTACATCACAATTTTACAGTGAGGTATGATTATCTCCATTTTACAACAAAAGAAACTGAGGCTCAGATGGTGGATTTGGGACTCAAACACGAGAGTATGGGACTTTGTAGCTCACTGTGAATGAGGTCTCGAGACTTGACAGGGACCTCCCTGCATGCAGATGAGTGTTCTTTGCACTTTCTTGACAATGCTATCAATCAGTGGTATTTTTACATGTTGGCCTGTATGTCCCTCTGTTCATCTAGCCATGCATCCATGCATTCACTCGTACACCCAACAACTAGGAGTATGGCTGGTCAGGGTATAGTACCAAACCAGACAGACAAGGTCCCTGCCCTTGAAGGCTTGCATTGTAGTAGGAGAGACAAACGTGAACAAACAGTCCCAGGTCTTCAAACCTGGGACTCCATGTCTGCACTTTTCTCATTAGATCTCTCCTCTCTCAAAGTTTCTGGATCTCTATCCTTCTGCATCCTAACTGCTAGCTTACACGGCTTTCCCCCTCTAGGTTGTGCCTTATGTCACTAGTAGTGTGTGGCACCATTAGGTGTTCAGGAAGTGCTGGAGTTAAGTGAAATATGTAAAATGAACTACTAAGAGAGGGTTTAGTGATGACTACAGCTATCTATGAGGATCAGGGAGGACTGTTGCTAGTTTTGTTCTTAGTAGCTGTGGCAAAGAGGGGACAATTGTCCATCTGAGATTCAGGCTCCTCTTCTCTCGTAGTATGAGCTGCTGCCCAATGAGGGACCTTATGCCCCAGCCCTGCAGCATCAAGGTGGAGCCATGGGACCAGATCTTGCCAGGGGAACAGGGAAAAAGGGATGCATTTTATTTCTAGCCTGACAAGGTTAAGAAGAGGGTATGTCTACTGTGGAGTCCATTTCCCCACCCATCAGCTGGACAGAGAAGATTCCAAGCCTCGAGGGAAGGGTATAATCACAAGTGAAAGGAGTCTGGGGCCTCAAACCACCCTACCAAGAGTATCCACGCTGGACTGTGACATAAGTAAGGAAACAAGTTCTAGTGTGTTAAGATGTACAAGGTTATTTCTTACAGCAGCGGGAACTGTCTTAACCAACCGTGATTCAGTATTCACCATAATCTCAGTGATCCTTGGAATTTTATGTAGGACATATCCAAACCATATTTTGAGAGATAGCAATGACTTTTCTTTCTTTTTTTTTTTAATCTTTTTTTTTTTTTTTGAGAGGTTTTCGCTATAGGGTGCGTGTGCTTGCCAGACAGAGAGAGACATAGAGACAGAAAACGAGAAATCACCCCCAGGGGGGATGGTCACGCCACAATCCCTTCTCCTCCATTCTCCTCTCGGATCTTGGGCACTCACGCACACGCGCCCGGCGTGAGTTTTAAGCCACCGAGTCCAGGACGTGAACCGCAGTTGACTATGTGGGAGTCCAGCGACATAGCCATTACACTAACTGCTGGTTCCCAATGACTTTTTATTCTTTAAAATAATAACTCACTGAAATAGTTGCTCAAGTAATTTGGAAAATTTTAAAGAACACTTTAGAAACGTAGTGGCTAAAAGTCAAAAGAAGAAAGACTAGTTCTGCTTTTCCCCCACACTGCTGTCTCCTGGAGCTGTGTCTGTGAGCCACGTGATGGATTAAGTGCTCATGGCTGGGAGAGACGGCAGTGGAAAGGTAGAGAAACATGGGAGGAAAGCATTTCAGACCGTACGCCATTTTGGTACCTTCCACCCCCGTCAGCACCCTCCTCCCCCAAAACACACACACACACACGGAATCTGCAGGATCTTTCCCACCAATGACTACTGCTTTTTATAGCCCTTTCAGGGCTCCAATGATCTGCCCTCATAAAAATAAAAAAGTTACGTAACTTTATTATTGGTTATTGTGCTTCGGTCTTCTTTCATTTCCTCCTCTCCATTCTTTAATTGCAATATTTTAAAGAACAAATAAAATGGACTTTTTACATTGTATTTAAAGATGGCCCCCCTGGTAGGATTTGATGGAAATATGGACCGGAACTTAAGAATGGAAAGTAACCAACTCCAAATGGTCTCAAGTGGATGAGTGTTAGGGAAAAAATTAAATCCAAAATACTAGCAAGTTTTCTTTAGCTTCTCTGAATGTATAATTCTAGGCCTGATGATACACTGGCCAAATGGCCTTCCTGGTGTGCCCACCGGGGGATGTGGTTCACGAGTTCAATCAAGGCAGAGTCCGTGCATGTGAGATCTGTAAAATGGGCTAGTAGCAGTAGCTGCTTCATAGGCTCCTGTGAGGACTGGGTGGACACATGGGCGTCTGGGGCTTCCGCACACCAGGCCTGGCACCCGGTGGGAGCTCAGGAACAAGGAGCTAGTGTTATAATATTTTAACACTGCCAGTTCACAGCTCCACACTTGTTACCTACCTCGTCAAAGTTGGCTCTGATGACAGTGTCCAGTATTCTCTGACAGTGAGTTCTGTACATCATGATAAAGGTAGAAACCTGCGGGGGAGGATCAATGACAAAGGCATAGGTTAACACACTCTGCTGCTGCCCTGGACACCGCCATTTCAAATCACGCATTTCTTCTTAGGGGAATGGAACTTGTCTAACACCTACTCATCCTGCAAAATGCAAAGGAGACTGATTTCCATCGGCTGGTGTTCTCTGGCCCCAGCTCAACCCTGTGCTCAGAGGGCACCTGCGTGTGCTCCTCCGTCAACGCACTCGCTTGTGGTATGGAAGACACCGGTTTCTCTTTCTATCCCTGTCTCCCATCCCCTGCCACCGCATGCTCTAGGACAATTAAAATGGCATATTACGGAGAAAAACAGAGGCAAGACATTTATGGGACACAGAAACGGTTGATCATCTGTTGATGATAATGTGTAGAGTCCCCTCAGCTGGACTGGTGGGAAGTGTATTCACGTTGGGTAAATTCACTTTACAAGCTAAGGGATGTAGAGTGATTGACTGCATAAAAGGCATTAAAATAAACATTTTAAATGGCTCATTACTTCAGGTCACGTTCCAGGACCTACCACAAGGCCAGGCACGTAGAACTCAGTAGCACTTATTGAAATAAATCGTCCTCATTGCCCAAGGTACCAAAAAGTTAGAGCTTAGTGTCCATTTGAAAGAAGTGTTTCTGCCAAAGTCATTCTTAAGACATTTGGAAATTCTCTGGAACTCGCTTAGTGGGAAAAAACCACCATCATCTCCTGCTCTACTTATCTAAGAATTTTAAAGCTATGGTGTTTATTTATTTATTTATTTATTTATTATTATTATTTTTTTTTGGAGAGATTTTCACTGTAGGGTGCGTGCGCTCGCCAGACAGACAGAGAGAGACATAGAGACAGAAAGCGAGAAATCACCCCCCGGGGGGATGGTCACGCCGCAATCCCTTCTCCTGCATTCTCCTCTCGGGATCTTGGGCACGCACGCACACGCGCCCGGCGTGAGTTTTAAGCCACCGGGTCCGGGACTCGAACTACAGTCGACTACGTGGGAGTCCAGCGACATAGCCATTACGCTAACTGCTGGTCCCCAAAGCTATGGTGTTTTTCTGACAAAGAAATTTCAAGAAAAATTAAAGATTTAAAAAATGTAAAGATTCTTAGATTTAAAGTGTCTTTCACAGGTATATGTTCATATTTCTTGTCTCAGGACATAGACACACATTTTATATCAATTTAAGGTGGCTCATACAAGCATTTTCTCCCTGCTTGAAAATAAGCTTCCTGAAAGCAGGACTCACACCTCCATCTCCAGGGCACCCAGCTCCTAGTGTGAGCCAGGGGACGGTTTCTAGGTTTCTGTCTCTCTAGCAAGCACATGCATCCTAGAACAAAAATCTCTCTTAAAAGAAAAAAAAAAATCATGTTAGCAGGGTACATTTGTCACTGATAAACCCATACTGGCACATTATTATTATAGCTTATATACTTTGTTTAGATTTCTGTCTATTTATTTTTTTAGAGGTTTTTTTTTTTTTTTTTTTTTTTTTTTTTTTTTGTTTTGGGCTTGTGTGCTCACCAGAGAGACAGAGAGAGACAGAGACAGAAAGGAAGAAAGCATCGTCTGGGGGGATGGCTACACTGCAGTTCTTCTCTCAGGATTTTGGGCGTGCACACACACACATGCTCGGGGTGAATTTTAACTGCTGGGCCTGGGACTCGAACGATGGGCAACTATGTGGGAGTCCAGTAGTGTGACCATTACTCCATCTGCTGGCCCCTCTGTATTTTAAAACTCACTGTTTTGCAACAAAAGTGTGTGTGTGTGTGTGTATGAGAGAGAGACAGAAAGAGAGAACGCCCCTCGCACCCCCACAGTCACTTCAGGTATGGGTACCTTCTCTTCAGGCAGGCTGGCTGGCAGATTGAGGTCTTTGACATTTGGAAACTCTGGCAGCAACGTTCCGAGTTTGGACCGCGGTGAATATGCCACTGTCTGTTTGCTCACTTCTTTTTTGCCCGTCTCGCTCACCCAGGCAGCTCCTTTCTTAGAATACATCACATCATAATATTGGGAACTTTCCTTCACCGCGATGCCATAGTAATGGTACCTGGACCGCAGAGAGAGGAGAGAGAGAGAATGACCCACATGCACCATCGTTAGGTGGGGCTTCCTGGGTTAGAAAGGGGGGTTGCTAAGGCCAAGGCCGGCTGAGTCCATCTCATCTGGGACTAGAAGAGTTAACTCCTATAAGGCTAGATTGCTCTGAAATCTAGAATTAAACCAAAGTTCCATGTTGCCAGCCATCAATCAGGCAGGTAAAAATAACTAAAATTGCCTCCTACAGAAAATGTTAAGTCAAATACTTTGCAAAGCAGAGAGGGGTTGAAAAATTTTCCATCTGTGCTTGATGTCTAGCCAAATGTGACCCCAGGGCACAGCACTTCAGGGTCCCAACCAGAAGGCTGTTATTACAACTGTCAACTGTACCACCAACAAAATTCACTGGGCCTATGCTTTTCTTAATCTTTGGTAGTCTCAAAGAAACATAGTTTTAAAAAGATAAATTCGGTGCTCCTGTAGATACCGAATATAAAACAAATGCCAGAATTTTTATTAACACGACATGGGCTTAATAATGGCAATGTTTTCAGTTAAGACTAATTAGGGGTGCTAGTGCATTTCATTTGGATTTTAGCTAAGTCTAGTGAGTGCTTGCTAAGTGCTGGGCACTTTGTAAAATGCTTCATATCCATTAGCTTGCAAAATAACCCTTGAAATGGGGATTCTTATGGTCTTTCTACAGATGAGAAAATAGAGGCAAGAAAGCTTAAGTAATTTGCTCGAGGTCATATAGCTACTTAGGGAAGGAAGAACAAACAGGTCTGTCTGGCTACAGAGCCACTATGCTATACCCACAGAAAACACTGCATGGTCATTCTACAGGCTCTGAGGTTTGTCAGAATCAGTTATACTGCTTAATGAAAACACAGATTCCTAGGTCCCTTCCCAGGACCTACTGATCGAGAGCATCTGGGAACGGGCCCAGGAACCGGCACTGAGATAAACATGGCAATTCTGAAGCGCGTCACCTCAAGACCTCTTGTGCTAAGCACTTGACACACAGGATTGACTCTCACAAAATCTCTAGGGAGCTAAAACTATGATCCCCATCTTCTAGACAAGGCAACTAGGCCTCGAGAATTTAAGTAACCTGCCCAATATCACCCAGTGAGAAGTAGAGGCAGGATCTGAACCTCTAATGTACTTTTAACCACTAGGCTGGTGATTCTCCAATTTTGCTACTAATAAGAATCACCCACAAAACATATTAAAATACAAACTCCTGGGCCCCACCCCCAAAGATTCTGATTTGGTAGGTCTAGAGGGGATTCGCGCAGGCCCAGGTCAGCACTAATGCTAAGTAATTCATGGATCTCGCACTCAGGAATGTCCCACAGCGTATTAACTCCTTCTCTACACATGGAGCTACAACGCTAGTCACAGAGTAACACAAAGGAGAGAGGATTTGGGGTCAGTAAAGACGTGCACAGGGAAGGACAGAACACAGCTACCCTCCCTGCTCCACCCCCCTTACTCCAATACCATTCTGTGAAGTTCCTGCTCAGTGGGCATCTCTCATCTATCTGAATGCCTTGTGGGATGAAGAACTCAGACCCTCCGAAGGCCGCCCAGTCCATCTTAAGTCTGTGTAGCTATCAGAAAGTTCTTTGTGTTGAGCTAATATCTGCCTTCTGGGCCTTCTACTTCCCAACTGTCATAACTGCCTTTCCTTCTGAAAGGCACTCTCCAGGTGGGGGTGGGGCTGAGTTCCAGCAGCTCCAGAAACACCCTTCGGTGGGAAGGCAGTTAGGACATGCCGCCCTAACTTCTAAAAGTGGGCAATTTCCTAAAATGAACAGCGTCGTGATACATTAAGCCAGACCGCTTCTTGATCACTCAGAGTGCGTGTTGTGGAAACTGCTGACGGCAGCATTGCTATTCCTCGGATCCCTTGTCGCCTTTTCTGTTTCAGTTCACATTAACACACTCTTCTCTAACCAGCTCCCCACATTTCTTGTGTGGTAAATCTGCTGAGGGAACCTCTCTCTGAGGAAGTTACAGGGTGGAGACTAGAGCTTACTGTCTTTCGATAGCTTGAAGGTGTGGTCAACCTTGAAGGACCTTTATAGAGGGGACAAAACAAATTTGATGATGTGAACTTTTTTTTTTTTTTTTTTGAGAGATTTTCACTGTAGGGCGCGTGCACTCGCCAGACAGACAGAGAGAGACATAGAGACAGAAAGCGAGAAATCACCCCCCAGGGGGGATGGTCACGCCGCAATCCCTTCTCCTCCATTCTCCTCTCGGGATCTTGGGCACGCACGCACACGCGCCCAGCGTGAGTTTTAAGCCACCGGGTCCGGGACACGAACCGCGGTCGACTACGTGGGAGTCCAGCGACATAGCCATTACGCTAACTGCTGGTTCCCGATGATGTGAACTTTTGAAAGAAGGTGTTTACCAGCCTCTCGGTTAAAAGGGTAGGGGTGGTGAAACAGGCTCTCAGATTGCCAACCTCTAGGTTTAGGAGAAAAAATAAAAAAAAAAACGATTCTCACAGGTGGACAGACAAAAACTTTCTCCAAGTTCTTGTAGGATGGAAAACTTCCCTGTTCTGCCTTTACTCTCTTTACTCTCTGTGTTTGCTATTTACCTTTACTATTTCTAAGAGATGGGCAACAATGTATTGGAGCCAGTGATTCCCCAAAGATCATGAGCAGAAGAAAAATCAATGGTTTTATCCACTCGGCGTCACTCCATCCATCCACTCATCTGTTCAGCTAACATTTCGAATTGCCCTTTGTGTGCCCACCAGTAAACAAGGAAGGGTTTGGCTCTTGTACTCTGTAATCTCACCAAAACTGAAACCTCATTTGAAAACAAATACCAGAATTTTTCAATGTAAACGAGGTTTGTTTTTCAGGGTAGTAATCTTGGAAAATTATTAGGAAGCTATTCCAAGATATCTGTTGTTCAAAAATCTTCTGGAAGTTTCTTTGGAAATTTGAGTTTCTGAACCTCACAAAAAATTAGCCTCTTTGTCTTCCAAACTTTACCAAAAAGGATTTTTCCCAGTTTGGTCATCCATTCTCTCCCTCTGACTGGTTCCAAAGTCAAAGGCATCCTTAGAGGGACGTAAATGTGCTGCCGAGGGTGCCGGGAGCTGGCAGGCAGCAGGAGGGGCATGGGGGTGGAGTTGTGCGGAAGGTAACAGTTATTAGATTCCTTTTTTTTTTTTTGAGAGGTTTCCGCTACAGGGCGCGTGCGCTCACCAGAAACACAGAGAGAGACAGAGAGACAGAAAGCAAGACATCACACCCTAGGGGGGACGGCCACGCTGCAATCCCTTCTCCTCCATTCTCCTCTCGGGATCTTGGGCACGCACACACACGCGCCCGGCGTGAGTTTAAGTCACCAGGTCCAGGACTCAAACCGCAGTCAACTACATGGGAGTCCAGCGACATAGCCATTCTGCTAAGTGCTGGTCACTAGATTTCCTTTTGAAACATCCTTATAGACAAGTCATATAAGCCCCATATGGTTGAAGTTTTTTGCTTTATATTTATTTATTTTTTAATGTTTCAGTGTTTTATAGGTCACTATGCTGACTTGGTCAAAATATTTCAAAATAGGGGTCAGATGGTGGCTCCGTGGAAAAATGTGATGCTCTACAAGACTGACCCACATGGGAAGGTTGTGGTTTGCATCCAGATACCTCTCTGAGTATGCCAGGCACGTCCATGCCCATAGCCTGGGGCTGGCTGAAGGCCAGTGTCCGCATCATGTTGGGGATATTGTCTCTCTGTCTCTCTTTCTCTTTTGCTCATGGAATAAATAAACTTAAAAAAAAAAGAAAAAGAACCTGCAGCTACACATTAAAAAATGCTTAGAAATGCTGCAAAATAAGGCACCCTCTAGTGGAGTCACTGTGTACATTAGCAAAATAAATGTTCTGAGAGGCCTCACCTTAAAGGAGGCCGTTTAACTCAGTATTTATCAGACTCACACAGCCACCTTCCTTCTCTGTGGAGCACCTGTTTACAACCTACAATTGTAAAATATTTATTTATTTATTCCATGAACAAGAGAGACAGACAGACAGAAAACAGAGACAGTACTTCCAAGAGAGCCCGGATGCCACCACCCACCCCCAGCCTCAGCCAGCCCCAGATCATGGGCATGCTGGTGCAAGTACATTCAGGAAGGTCTCCAGGTGCGAGCCTGGAAACTCTGCCCACGGGCCAGCCTCACAGACTGCACCACTATCCAGTCACTCGTCCGACAACGGGTGAGACATCCTTAGACGCAAGTCTTGCACATACAGGTTCTAATGAGACCTGAGCTGCACAGGAAGAGACCCGCCCCGAGGAAAAGGGTGTCTGTTCACTCCTCCTGCTCACTCCTCGGTCTTTGCTTAAATGTCACCTCCTCAGAGAGGCCTTCCCTGGCCACCTCCTCTTGTGACTGTACTAGAACCATCTTTGTCACAGCCTGACTCCCTTCTGTCTTCCCCACCTGAACGTGTGCTCCAGGAAGGCCGTGATTGGCTTGCTCCTGTGCTCCCAGCACCTGGCACCATATTATCTGATACAGAAGGTGAGAAGCGAGTATTGGTCAGGTGGTCGGTGGCACTGATGAATGGGAAGCAGTGGGCCCTTGCGTGCCACACCAGAGCTGGCCCTCTCTGCCCATCTCCCACGCAAGCCTACTGGGTACTACCAAGAGCTTGCTCAGCCAAACAGTCCAAACAACCTGGAGATCGCCCAAGTAGCCATAGGTGCTCCTTCAGGTGAGGCCCAAGGCTATGTTAAAAAAAAAATGTCTAAAAACAGGTGGCGTCAGATTGATTGCTTAAAGCAGCCGGGCCTGATGGTCCTAGGTTTGGGGGCTTTCTCTCTTTCAGGGTTTCTAAGGCAGGGGGCCCGACTGTCACAAAGTGCCTTCAAGTTCCCTCCAGGCCTGTGGACAGAGCTCAAGATGAAAGGCCTAGGGTCCAGCCTGCCTCGAGGCTCAGGGACACACACTCTGTGGGTGGCATAGCTGTCCGGTGCTTACTTGGACTGTCCTCGGGTCCCGAGTCTTCTGGTGGTTAACTGAGGAAACTGCTGCCTTATGATCTGTAAGTCAACACAAGAATCAGTTACCCGTTGGGAAAGGCTGAGAGCACAGTGGCTAAGTTCTACACACGGCAACCCGGGGAAGGGAGGACCTGCAGCTCCTGGGCTGAATGCCTTTGTAGGAACTTGTCAAGACCCCGGAGGAGACTACTGGGGTTGGAGAGACGGGCGGGGAACTCTTGGATGACTGTGAGGTGCTGGCTCCTGAAGGGATCTCAGGTGATGACACTGTGCTTCCCCTGCTCACTCACAAGGGAGGCAGAGCCAGTCAATCCCAAATGTGCGACACCTCTGCTGAAAGTCCTCCATGACTTCCATCATCGCTGGCACTAGAGCCCTCCTTCAGCTTCTGGAACTTGTCCCTGCTTACCTCCTGGCCTTCCTCCCCTGCAGGTCTCACCCTTACTCACCAGATCCCCCCACATGGGCCACTGGTTGTTTTGTTTTGTTTTGTTTTGTTTTGATCATTCTAAAACACACCAGGCTTGTTCCTCACGAGGAGGCCTTTGTGCTGCAGTTCCCACTGCTGGGAATGCAGCTTCACCCAGATCTTTACAAGATTGGCTCTTTCTAAACCATTCAGACTTCTGGTCCATGTCCCCCAGCCTAGAGGCCTTCTCTTGCCAGCCAAGCTGGACCAGTAGAGGCAGTCCCTGGCCATCACAGAGCCCAGCTTCATGTCTGCTCACCACTTAGCACCATCCGAAACCGTACGGTTCACGTCTCTGAGAGTGTGGTCTAGGTCTCCTCCTACTGGAATACAGGGTACAGGAGAGCAAGGACCTCACACAGGGCTTGGCACACGCCAAAAATTCAATCCATAGCAATCAAATGAAGGGAGGAAGCCCTGGCCCCTGCCTGGCATCTTTTACCTGGCTGCAGAGCAGAGGATGCAACTGCTCTTGCCCAGGACAGTCACAGAGATTCGCAAAAAGTCTGGGAGGAGAAACCATCTCCCAGGGTGAAAACATGGCCGAGGGCCCTCTTTCCTTAGTGTTTACAGAGATGGTGTTTGTGGAGAGGTGGTAGAAGTAGGGGCTGTGCACAGGAGCTTTCATGCTGGACTACCTGGGTTAGATCCAAGCTCAGCCATTTGTTAGGCTGGGTGCCCGTGGGCAAGCTAGGTAACATTTAAGTGACTCAGTCTCCCCTTTTGTAAAATATGAATGACAGCAATTCTAACTTTGAGCATTCTTGTGAACATTTTAAAAGTAAATGCATGTAAATACCTTGCAGCAGTGCCCGGATGAGTAAGCACTCAGTCAACACTGCCCGTTATTACCACCGACTGTCCTGGTAACATGTTACTTTTCCTTCCAGGAAGTTTTCCTTTTAAGTCTAATCAAATTCTCCTAGACGCCCTTTCTTTCTAGGACAGCACCGAGCAGGTGTGAATATCAGAGAACACGAACCTGGGCACTGTCCTCGGGACAAGAGATGCAGTTGCTGATTTCCCATGGGTAGGACGTGAGCCGTGAGTGCTCTCTCTAGACATGGGCTGGATCTCTATGGAGCCATTCCTGCCCTCTTATATCCACACCAGTACTCTCGTGACGCTAGCCTCATTCACTCGACAAGCACGAACTGTGACCCTGTGAGGTGTTCGAGCTCGGGCATACTGTGTGACCCCTCTGTGCCTTTGAGGGATGTCTGAGAACCTACGGGGCTAATTGGTGGGATAGGGGAGGATCACAGGTGGGATATTGGTCTTACCTAAATTGGCATCAGAGGGTTGGAGGGAAATGGACACATTAAAGAGAAATTGAGAACCTGCAATGGGGACCATGAGACTGACCGTTCCTGTGTCAGAAAACTGACTCTCTCTGGATGAAAGGGGTGGCATTTCCTCATCTGAGAACGGGTGAAAAAAAAAATACGGTTCACAAGGATCTTTAGAGAATATAATGCAATAACACCACAGAATGACTTTTGGAAGTAAAAAGGGTTTTAAAATATTATAGCAATACAATAGTTCTCAGAATTCTTTAAGGGTGTTGCTTTTTATAGACAGCTCATCCTTGTTTCTTTAACCCTAATTCCTGATAAACTGCCTTTAAGAGATACTCGGCCTCTGTCCCTCTTGAGCTGTGACCTGAGTTAGATGCAACATTCGAGATGGGGCTAGTGACAGTGCTCTTTGAACACTTTGCTCCTAAGGCAGTCTAAGACTTTGTCAAAGCCTAGTGCCTCATCACCTTGGGTTTATATAACCCATGGCCAAATTCTCCAGACTTCTATCAGATGACTGGTTTCAGAGCCAGGTTTTCAAGCAGTTGTTCATGAAGGTACCATACTACAGAAGTACAGGTATGCTGACAGAGAAAGAGGGCAAATACGGAGAGCATAAAGACGGAGCCAGGGAATTCTTCATGGTGGTTAAAAGTAGATTATGGGGCCAGCAGGTGGCATGGTGGCTAACGTGCTGAACTCCCACATGGCCGACGACAGTTCCAATCCCAGACCTGGCAGCTTGCTTTCTCACTTTCTTTTTCTCTCTCTGTCTCTCTCTGGTCAAATTAAAAAAATAACAAATAGAATTAAATAAATAATTCTTTTTTTAAAAAAGTAGATTATGGTTTTGGTTATAAGTTTCCGAGCCATGCAAGTAAAGATAGTAATACCATAGAGTTACAAGAGTTACAGTGTCAAAAGATAAATATATGCTAGTTGCCTAGGAAACGCTAAGATTTTCCTGTGTTTCTGTCTGGAAAATCTTCCTTATGCAAATGAGCACAACAGGAAGGCACCATGTCTCACCCTCTGATGTTAACAGACATCTTGAAAGCGAGGTGTTCTGTGTTGTCAAGGCTGTAGTAAAACTAGAACACTCTGGGCCAGCCTGGAGGTTGAGGTGGCTGGATAAGTCCCGGATGCAGCCACTTGAAAAACATGCCGGGGTCATGTGCACACATGCCCAAATCCCAGAAGAAGAGTGGAGGAGAGGGGGTTGCAGTGTGGTCATCTCCCATGGGGAGTTTCCCTCTCTTTCC